TTTTGGTTACATCTCCTTTTATTCGATTTTTCGCTATGCTCCGCTCCATCATCTGTTCTCTTTACAGGTATATTTATGAGACATACCTAACAAAGTTAATATTAGAGCCTTCCCCTTAGTTTTAATTTCCTTAGTCCTCTAATTTAGGGAATGATTCAATTTTAGTTCTCGCATTTAGATGCCCGAGGGCTCATTTCGATTATTCGATTTAATAATTGGTTAAAATCAAGAAGGATTAATATTAGAGCCTACATTTTTAGGTTTAGTCCTCAAGATTCTTTAATTACATAATTTGACAACATTTTGGCTAGAAATCCTTTAACAAACTCACCTAGTAAAATTAGGATTATAAATCATTTGATTGATTAATTACATATATTTTCAAACACATGACAAAGTTCACTTATTAGGGAGTCAATAGTATATCTACTGCAAGTATACTCAAGGGGTGACTACTGGTGATTCCCGAAATAGGTTGGCATCCTTTTCAATACCGCGTCATGATTTCTAAAATCTCGAGGCAATATCCGGTTATTGGGTACAATAGTTGATCTCTCGCATTCATGCTAGGGGGCGAATGTTATTGGCTTTAATAAACGAATACATTTTTTAACTTTGCATTCGTAATGATTTTAATTAGATAAAGTTCGAATTCAAAATTTTCAAATCTAAATATAGGGTAATCAACTAGTTATCAATTTTTTGGCGTTGTGGGGTGCTAATCTTTCTCCATGCCTAATTGACTCTCGAACCTATTTATTTGTTTTCGTAGACCCTAAACTTAATATTTTGATAAAAATAAAATATTTTATTAAGATACCCTAATTTTTATGATGTCACAATTACACTTTAAAATAATGGGTAGGGACTCCTCACATTTCAAAATCTTTTAAGATAAAACCCTCAAATCATAATGGTTTTTTTCTCCCACTCGGGAAATAAACAGTGTTGACCTTTGAAAAATGGACGACCTTTATTATCAGATGAGTGACAGTTTGAAAGGTTGGGATAAATGAAAATGGACAACCTTGACAACCTCTGTCAAACTGTTTTTGGAAAACATAAATTAAGTAATTAAAAACCCATTGAAAAAACAAAACAAAGAAGAAACTTACAGGTAAATATTGAATGTGGAATCAAACCTAAATTTCCCAACACTGCTGTACTTTAGAAAACACAGAAGCATTTAACTCAATTGTGTTCTATGACGAAAAACCTTATCTCACATTGAGATCAGCCATATTCAGAAATGTATTACACACTCGTTGTATTTGGATTGGTGACTAGCTATTACCAAATGCTCTACCGACTATATTAACGGATCCAAAAATTTAACAATAAGAGATGCACTTAGTCCTGGAGAATTTAGTACATCTGTCCTACTTTGCCGTAAGGTATGATCCTACCGTAAGAGATTGTTGATCCGCCGATCTAAATAAAATAATCGGTTATTTTTTTTTAAAAATCTTGGTTGAACACCATCTAACCTGCTAAATTTCATAGGTTGACGTGTAGGACTATGAGTCACAATAAAATCCTGTCAAGTATCCAACGACCCATTTCTTTATTTCTTTTATTTTTTATTTGTATTAAGGTATTAATCTACAACTTAAGAGAGATGATAGATGTTAATGAGAGCTTTTAAATATTATTCTAAAAATTATATTTCTTTAATTGTATTTCTTTTTTAAACTATTAAATTTTTTTGGTAAAATAAAGTTTAGGTCATGGGTACCTTCCCAATCCAGGGCTAGAATATACCTAAGACCTAATTAAGATTTACTTAGTAATTTACAAACTACCACCAAGAATGACGATGGTAGAATTCGAATTTGATCTTATAAGCTCAAACTAATGTATAAATTCTATTTCTAAATTAAGTATGATATATTATGGACAACTTTATGTTTTTTCATATAAAATTTAAATATATATTTAAAAAATAAGATAAATATGAATCATGCACTCGTGATCTGAAAATACAAATACTAAATTCCCAAATCAAAACAAAAATCACATTTGTTATTATCCAACCCGAATACCCATTATTGAACACCACACTCTCTCTCTTATTAATTTAAGGTGATTACAATATAGTATATGTTTGTAAGACTTTCAACAATTTGACAATGAACACTTAAACACTCTTGCAAACATCACTCGAATATGAGACTTCTATAAATAACAACCATCATTTTAACTTCTGAAATCGCTTAATTCCTACATCACACACTCTTAAAATATATAAAGGGGACCAAATAGTATAAATAATGAAATGTATTGTTTTGACATATGGAATTATGGGCTTAAAGTAGCTGGGTGTTCTCATATTGACCAAAGTGTGTCATAACATGGCTCATACAAACCTGGCCCGTGCTAGGAAAATGTAAAAAAAAAAAAAAAAAAAAAACTTATTGATGTAAAAAACTAAAAATAAAAAGAATTTTGCATACCAACATATTATAAGCTCGTAATATAGTATAAATGGTTATTAATTGAATGATACAAAGTTCTGGAACCAAATATTTATATCTTATTAAGATTAAGTTTTGAATTCAACCTCTGTAATTTTTTATTTTTGAAATTTTAAAAATATAATTCAATAAAAAAGAGTGAAAGTTATTGGTTTAATTAACCTTTATATTGGAAATAAGTCAACAAAAAGGACTTGAAGAAATAAGATTGGAAAGAAAACTTGCATAGAAGAAATCTATTTAAATTAAGTTTTCTACTTTTTAATCAACGTCTAATAGTTGAAGTACGATTCAAATAAACTTTGAGTCACAAAACTTTAATAATCTCTACCTTGACAAGAATTTTAAAAGTGCAAGGAGTTCAACAAAGATAAAATACCAAATTCAATGAAAAATCTAAAGTTGACAAAAAACTAATGTTTCACTTTGAAGAACAAATTCTCCACCTTGAGAACATATTCTCTACCTTAACAAATAAACTATCCACTTTTTTCAAGAAATCCCTCAAAATAGAATTAATCAACAATAAGTGGAAATCGATCCAAGCCATGCTCTGGTTTGATTGTATGAAGTTATTAACTTAGTATTCACATTGGTAAGACAATCGTAAGTGTCACAAGCAATATTTTGCACAACGTGATCTTGAACATTGTGAAGAATTTTATCTTTAACCATCAATAACTCATCAACCTTGTTGAATCTCTGCAAAAGTCTAGTTTATTTTCTATGCATGTACTTAGTACTAGAGCAATGTGAAGAAATTATTATATCATTGAAGTTATTAATCCATGTGGTAAATTGAACTCTACATGGCTTCTCAAATTCGCTATGTCAATAAAAGTAAACTCTTTTTTATTTTCCAGATCTATTATTCCTACATATATATTAACACTAAATTTTCTTTTGTTGATTCAATCAAGACATTTTTTTCCAGTAATGTTGTTATCTAACTTGGAAAAGGAGACAATTGTTGTGTTGTCTAAAACCGTTGAACCTTTTAAAACAAAAAATTTGATAACCTTTCTTCGCCCTTACATCACAACCCTTAAAAAAATTTCATAGTTCTACATTTATGGAAATAATTGAACCCTTTTAAATCTAAAACACCTAACGAAATCAAATTTCTTCTTAAATATAGAACATGCTTTAAATCACCAAGTATTCGAAGAATCACATCAAATATCTCAATTTAATTGTGCCAATACATGTGTATTTCAAAAGACATTATTTCCCCCCCCAAAAAATCATCACCTATGGGCACAATTTTATAAGTCACAAACTTGCCTCTAATTCTAAACTGTTTTTTTTAATGAATTTGAAAGAAACGAAAAGCAAAGAAAATTGTGGTGTTTTAACACCGGAGACAACATCAAACGATGGCTGAAGGTTACCACGGCAACAAGACTAGGATTTGGGTTAGACAATGGTCAAATTGATAGAATTTTTAAACATCAATGATTATATTTATTAAATTATATTAAATTAGAACCAAAATAATAAAATGTATATAATTTAGGAACTAAAAATGTTATTTTATCATACCATATCACCATCTCCATTAAAACTTAACATTGAATGATCAAAATAGAAAATAAATATAATATTAATAACCAAATTTGTAGAAAAATATCATAATGATAAAATTAAAATAGAGATAATAATTTAGTGACCTATGATCTATTTTACCCTTGTTTTATGATTTGGATTTCTCATTTCATTTGAAGAAAAATAAAACAAAATAAAATTTAGCTACATTAAACACAAGTTGCGTGGATTGTGAACTCATCATGCGGCCAAAGAAAGGATAGTCTTGGTTTGAGTTTTAACTATGATATATGTATTATCTAAATTTACAAATCTCTAAGTATTAAGGAGTAAAATTAATGATTATTTAATACTTCGATAATCAAATGGTCTAGCAGGACGAGATAATAATTTTGTTAAATAGAGTTATTGTGAAATCAGTTATATTTTGAATTTTGAAACATCACCGTTACACCCAGAGAAAGAGAAATGGATGAGAATAAAGTGATAAGAGTTTCAGAAAGTAATAATGTCGTGATATTACTCATGATGTTGTAATAAATATGGACCCCAATGCATCCATCGCCAATTTTCCATCTCTATAAATGCTTCAACATAAACACTCTTTATCACCAACCTTCCTCATCAAATAATATACAACACCAGCAAGAAACAAGGCTTTGAGATACAGGCTTGCTTGTATATATATTCATTTATACAATGTAAAACTTTTTTTAATTTTCTATATATATATATATATATATATATATAAAGATTGAGTTTGTATTTCAAAGTCTTGGTTTTGTTGCTGCTGTTGTTTTAGAGTTGGAGATGAGTTTATCCTATACACCTCAATGTTAAAGGTAGATCCTTTATTTTCCTTGTCTTATTTTTATAAACAAAGGCATCATTGAAAAAGTCCTAATAATGATGTGGTGGATATTTAAAATTAGACAAAATTACTAAGTTTATATCAGTTAAAGGACTCCATCCTATGATTCAGCCCCCAAAACAGATCTCTTCCAAGGTTTTGGAAGTTTCAAATTACAACCCACAAAAATAAAAATAAAAAGGATTGGGAATATTGTTTTATCTTCTAAGACAAAGAATGTGGGGAATAAACTGGGTTTATGTGTGATAATGTTAGGATTAATGTTAGGGAATCAATGAGGTTTGAGTTGGAATCTGGGAAAACCAAATGCATTGCAGAAGACATTAAGGCAAATGCAATGACTGTAGGCAAATACTCCATTATCAATCCTAATGAAGAAGGCCCTTTGCCTATATCTCATAAACTTGTTGTCAGGGTATGTTCTAAACCATTTTCCTCTCTCTTTTTTCTTTGATATCCGATCTATTGATCGGGTAATTTAGATTAAGTACTGCAGAGGTCGTTATGAGAGAGATCATTCCAACCCAATTTACTCTATTGACAATGTCAGGATTTGTTTGAGGGTTTTTTTTTTTTTATATCTTGTTTGGAGTATGATAATTTGATAGGTGAGTTCACCCAAGGGGAACAGTTATCACCTAGGAGATCAAGTGGACACAGGTGCATTTGCATTTACAGCAGCGGAGGGTGGGGATTACACAACTTGTTTTTGGGCAAATAGGCACAATCCTGCTGTGAAGATGACCATTGATTTCGATTGGAAAAGTGGTGTTGCCGCTAAGGATTGGTCCAATGTTGCTAAGAAAGGCCAGGTTGAAGTATGTGTTCTCTTACCATAATCTTTCTCATATATTCTGAGATTATACTTTGTATTTTTTTTTCAGAATACGTAATCATAGATGCTGTGCATGGGAAATTTAAGGAAAAACATAGGGTTATATCCACCATAGGTTTTCAGTTGCAATAATGCCTCAAAGATTATATCCTTATTTCTATATATCCTAATATGTATCGTTTTCATTTTATGCTAGACAATGGAAGTTGAGCTGAAGAAATTGTATGACACTGTCACAGTCATTCATGAAGAGATGTTTTACCTTCGTGAGAGGTAAGAAACAACCATTTCTAAGCTATGATCTTTTTACTCATGATTTTTTTTTTCTATATTCTTTTAAATATTTAAATATGTTTCGAAAATACTAGTGAAAACATGATATCTATAGTCATAGATTAATCGAGTTTAACCAGAAAAAGTCAAGCTCAAATTTAAAAACCCAAATTATTGTGCAAATCCTATTCAGGTATCTTAATGACCACCTTGTACATGTCTCTAGTCGAGGTTTTGTATTTTTTATATATAATAATACAATTACCTCCGACAACATCTACAAAATGATCACTTTGTCCCCTATGTTTTTTTTCTTAAAACATCCTACACCTAATGTTTTAATTTTTTTTATTAAAACATACATCGTTGGATGAAATCATTAGTTGACTAACAACCAACACATACTATTGACGTGACATTTTGACATGTGATCAATTACTGACATTATATGCCACATCATCCAAAGTGATAATGTGACATATACCACATACGCAATCGAGCACACGTGGAAATGTCACATTAACAATATGTTTTGACTATTAGTCAACTAACAATTTCTATCGAACAAGGGATATTTTGACAAAAATTTTAAAACATTGGGATAAAATACTTCAAAAAAAGAATACGGAACAAAATAATCATTTATGTCAATATTGAAGTACTTGTCATTATGTATTTTTATTATTATAGTAAGTATTGGGGGGTTTAAATTTTGAACTTAAACAAAAGTAATCCAGTTTGGAGATGGGTGTGAGAGTTGAAGCTCGTTTCTTAGAAGGCAAACCATCCTAAATCCATGTTTTTGTATCCAACATTTTGTTATTACAGGGAGGAAGAAATACAACAACTTAACAAGGAAGCAAATTCCAAAATGGCTACTTTTGGATTATTTTCGTTGCTTCTTTGCTTGTCTGTCGCTGGTTTGCAGATATGGCATCTTAAGACATTTTTTGAGAGAAAGAAGCTCCTCTAGTTCTGTTCCTTTCCAAAATTATATCAAAATTAGACTTAATTAATAAGGGAATTTTTGTTGTCTTCTCTAAGGCTCGGTTTTGGATTCAAACGGGTCATGCTCAAGTACCTTCATCGATTTTATTATGAAATCAGTCTTATAATTAAGCTTTAAATTTTTGGATTAAAACGGCTCGGTTGTACCTTCTTTGTTCTTTTCAGAAATTAAATTTAATTAGACTTAATCTACAATTAGCTTGTTTAATTTAATTTGGTGAATTGAATTATAATTTATTTTAACTATTTTTAAAGCTAAAGCGCAAGAAGAAGGCAAAACGATCTTAAAGGTTATCAAATAGAATTGAAATGATGAATAATAGTCTTTGGGTTTAAGAACCACGCATTTCATATCGACACTCAAACTGAGAAACAAAATAAACATTATTTCTCTGGAAAAAAAAAGCACCTGAAAACCCAATAACTTGAAGATAAACGAATGGAGACTATTACGAAAGTTTGAAGTACAAAACGACGACAATAGCGACGATGAGGAGGGATATAATGATACCTATGATCCACTTGTTCCGGCTCATCCTCCTCGACATATTTGTCAAAATTCTCTTGCTCTTCCCAATGTTGTCATCCACTCCATGAAGCTGTGTAACCAAAACACAAACCCATCTTCAAAGGATCAAACCATTACATCTTAAAGTTCACCATATCATGGGAGGAAATTTGAAGTCCTACTATCATATAAGACTTCAACATAGAAAGCTCATGCAATAGTCGGTTCGAAACGGGGAGAACAAAATGAATAATGCTTGATTGCTACAGATTGACAGGGTGATACTTTTTTCGGATGAATACTAACATAATGCTAATGAGTTGTTAAATAGAGTTTGAAGGAAACTACAACTCAAATGCAAGAAATTAAAACTAAAAAGAGCATACTACTTATTGAAGAGAATTAGAGATCATATGCTATAAAGAGATACCGTGTTGTTGGCATGTAAAAGAGATTGCCGCTGTGAATGCAAATCCTGAAGAATCGAAACACCAAGCTCTTCTGTTTCTAGCATGGTTCTTCTGCTGTCCTTAATTCGGTCACTGCTTTGATTCAATTGCTCCGTAGTCGTCATCAATCTTGATCTTTGATTAGCTGATGCCTATTGCATGTCCACCATTTACAAATCAAAAGTTAAATATAAAGAACAGAACAGCAATATACCACTGCACGTTGACGTTTAGACAGAAGAACCAAAATATTCCGTGAGGGCATCAGCTATTCCAGACTCTAACAGCTCATCTCGAGCAGATGGATTTAAATTTCCAGATGCAATTCTTTTGACTTCACTTTTGAGATTGTTAAGATCTGATTTATATTCCCGTAGCTTAGCAGAAGCACAGCCTTAACATTTGGCTACAAACTTCTTGCCTCAAGGTCCATTTTCCGAATCTGAGAAACAAAACAAGCAACATCAAGTTTAATACACATGCAATGAACCAGGTACCATAGCTTCAGCATCTTCTAGTCCATCTTTTACTTCAGATAGCTTTTGTTTCTTCTGCTCTGCATATAAGAAAATCAATTAAGAATTGGAACAAGAACAATTGGCTAATTATAAATGCTGATGCACAAACAAATTGAAAAAAAATTCTCATTGAAGACCTTTTGATGAAATACAAAAGGAACCGCATTATTCAACAAAAGGAAACACATAAAATTTGGATTCATATATCGAACATGCCTGAGTTACCTCTCTACCAATCTCCTTAATGGTATATATTTTCTTTACCAATTTGGTTATTCACACAATAGAAGCAAAGGTAATCTCATACAGTTTTTTCTCTTAAAATGGAGTAGAATATAATCTTTATTCCATGTGTCTATACATTGAATCTTTGTTATTCCTTAAATGGTATACTCTAAGCCATATCAGCGCGATGCAATTATTACAAGGCCAAAAATTGCTTAAGTTAATTCTTACAGTGTCTGTAAACGAAATATATTTGGTGTGACCCTCCAAATACATGGGAAAACGTTAAAAAATATTAAACATACACATCTCGAACACATATTTGACACTCACATCCAAGTCCGAGTAACGGCTAGCTTTTTCCTTTTTTGCAGAGAACCATGATACATGCAATTAGGAACACACTCAGAGCCTTCTTAATGCTCAATCATCGCAAAGTAAATTATATTGCTATGCAGTTAAATAACTGCAAACTAATCCCTATCTGATGAAGGAGCATCCCCTCCATCACTATTACAACATGCATTCCACTTTATACTTCAGAATCACCTTCTAAATTTTAATTTATCGCCTAAATTCAAGGCATTTCAAATTCTTCCGTAGCCTTTTTACCTCAAAAATCCTGAAATTAACTGGCAAAATATTAAGTTTTCCCCAAATCTATATCAACGCCATAGAAAATTCTAAAAAGAAGTAAAACTATATAAACAAATACACAAGCTAAAAACAACATCGCGCAAATCATGAACAATAATTAAATTATAGTAAATATAAAATTTAAAAACAAAACGAGAGATAAAGTAGATCCGATCTTGTTTTACTCTTCATATCTCCTAATTAAGCAAACTATTTTTATTTTCAAAAATTAAATCAAATCCTAATTTTTCATCAGCATAACTGCAGCAAAATTACCACACGAAAACCAGAGCTTCCTTAATCACGCTAAACTAGAAACAAAAAGCACCAATTATGCCATTACGTTGCCGCAATCAGGAACAAGAAAATAAAGGGAAAACAAAAAAATTAAAAAAAAACCGTTTATATACATAAACAATCGAATTGTAACCTCCATTCAGCGCAACAGCAGCCGTGCACTTCTTGGAAAGATTCGCCGACAGCTCGCAATACTGCCGTTCATACCCTTCGAAAACTTCACTCATCTTTTTTAATTTATTTCTCCAAGTATAAACTCTCTTTAAAATCAACTGAAAATTAAAATTAAAAATCAGCTAATAAATCGACACAAAAAGAAAGAAAATTAAAGAATTTAGGGAGGGAGAGAACCTGAGATGATCGTGGCTCGATGGCTTTTTGAAAATTTTCCTTACCCAAGAAAAATTAATCTATGTCAAATACCACTCATCTTTAAGTTCGAGTTTTAAAATGTCATCGACGTTTTATTTTGTCAATTTTAACACGGACGTTTATGTTTCACTGTAATTTTTTCACTTCGTCGTTAATCTGTTAACGAAACGATGACATGACATGACATATTTTTTCCATAACGGTAATGACATGACACTCTCATCAAAATGACGTCGTTTTGGCACGACCGTTTTAATACTCAAAAAACTCAAAACGACGTCATTTTGTTCATAAAAAATATTTTTCATAAGATTCAAACCATAAACCTTTAGAGTTTAAATATAAATACTCAACCACCAAACTAACTTAAGAACTTATTATAATATTAACAAAACTATTATAAATGTTCATCACTACCACCGTCACCCTCATTATCTTCTTCATTATCTTCTTTTAAGAACTTCACTTTGGTTACACTGATATCACCACCGACTACAAAGAAATCAATAGTCATAAAGACATAAGGATAATAGTTGTTATGGTGAGGCCTCCCCTGATGTCGGGCTCGTATGCGCAAGGCCCCTACGGTCCTTTTCTTCATTCCCCGGACATGGTTTCTGTTGCGAGTTGGAATCCCTATGAGGTAGGTAAATTAAAATTTTATTCAGTTTCCTCAACTGTGAGTAATTTTCATTAGATTTTATTCTTGAGGTTGTTAATGAACCTGATGCAGCAACCTGTTAGTCCCATTACTCAAGCCACTGCTGGATCGAGCTCAGTTTTTGGAGTAACACCATTATCTCCATCAGCACCTGCCTATACTCGATCTTATCAACCTGTAATTCCTGTTGTTGTGTCTTCGAGTAGTATTCATCAGGAACAACCATTTCCGGAGAGACCTGGCCAACCAGAATGTCAGTATTATATGAAAACAGGTGCTTGTAAATACGGATCCTCCTGTAGATATCATCATCCAAAAGAAGTGCCTGCACCAAAAGTTGATGTCGTCCTCAACCCTCTTGGTCTTCAGGTTCGTCTAGTAAGAATTTGTAAAATGCCATATAAATTTGATGTTGTTTACAAGGTTGGGTTTTAAAATTTTAATCACGTTTAATGCTTCGTAGTGGTTAGCATGCTTTGTTTCTTGATGAAACTCAGTTTGCAATGAACTACAAAAGTTAAATAAAGGAAACTATCATGAAATTGTTATGATTGAGTTGTTTTATTTATTTATTCATGCTTTATATCCTTGTATACTTTTTTTGTGGCCTGGTGTTCAGGTCGAGGTGTATCAGTATCACATTTCTTTCTTAATGTCATTCTGCTTATGTTTCTATCAACTAGTTAATTTCTAAGGTTTTTATGTATTAGTCGAGAGTCTTTGGAGGATTATATCCTTATGCCCATTTCCGGCACGTACGGTGGTAGTCGGTGGTGATATCACTGTAACCAAAGTGAAGTTCTTAAGAGAAGATAACGAGAAAGATAATGAGGGTGACGATGGTAGTAATGAACATTTATAATAGTTTTGTTAAGGTTTTATTAAGTTCTTAAGTTAGTTTGGTGGTTAGGTATTTAGATTTGGAATCTAAAGGTTTACGGTTCGAATCTCATGAAAAATATATTTTTCATGAACAAAATGACGTCGTTTTGAGTTTTTTGAGCATCAAAACGGTCGTGTCAAAACGACGTCGTTTTAATTAGGATGTCATGTCATCGTTGTCACGAAAAAAAAATGTCATGTCATCATCTCGTTAACGGATTAACGGCAGAGTGAAAAAATTATAGTGAAACATAAATTTTCGTATTAAAATTGACAAAATTAAAATGTCGATAACATTTTTAAACCCGAACTTAAAGATTAGTGATATTTTACATAGATTACCAAAAGTAAACGAATCACTTTGGGTTTCTCATTGTTATCCACGCCTCTTTTTTCTCATGTGGGGCACAGGTGGTGAGGAGGAGATAATAAAGACACCTC